GCTCCAAAACCCCACTGCCACCTCTTCCCCCCCGCCACCCACGATGGGGTGACCCTGGGGACACCGGGTGACAGCTTGGGGCTGTCCCTGCTGTGGAGGTGACATCAAGAAGGAGGTCTCCAAGAGAGTGGCGTCCTCCCCCCCACCACCCCATGGTAGAGGTAGCGTGCAGGGCGAGCCTCGTTAAGCGACGAGCCTCGTTAAGCGACATCTTCCAGCGCCCTTTGCCTTCCCTCCTGCCCGCCCCAGGGACGTGCTGCCCCTGACCTGCTTGGCTCAGGTCCCACAGGGAGCCCTGAAGCCAGCCAGGAAGGACCAAGCCCTGGCAGACCAGGAGTCCATGCCCCACGGTGCGTGGGTGGATCTTGCTCCTTTAACGTGGGGCCTCCTTAAAACAAAAAAAAAAAAATAAAATAAAAGGCTGCCATCCAGGTTGGAGGCAAGCCCTCGCCAAGGGGGGGCTGATGATGAATCTTCCCCACCCTCTTTGCTTATCAAGATAGCGGCTAGGAAAAGGTCCTCCTCCGAAGCCACCATTGAAAGGCCATTGCCACCTCGAGGTGGACCCCCGCAGGCTGGGCTGAAACTTTAAAGCAATTATCCTCCCGTTAATTTTGCTGAAGAGCCTCTGTGCTGAGTTCTCACTTGAGTGGGTGTCCCCTGGGCAGAGCCAGGAGAGCAGAGCCTTGATTTCCCCTCCCAAGACTAAAAGAAGGCACATTGCTTATGGAACCATCACGCCGGAGAAGCCAAGACCAAGCTCCCCAAGCCTGGTGGTGATGCTGATGGGGTGGGAGGAACCACATCCATCTCTGAACATCCGTCCACCTCTGAACATCCAAGAGGTGGAGCCAGGCCACCCCAGCAGCGCTAGGAAAGAGGAGATGTGTTTGCTGGTGGCTGGTTAACGCCTCGTTAAGCCCCTGGCTGTTGCTTTGCTGGATGGAGCTGTAAAAATCCAGCTGGGATGACAGCCTTTTCAGCCACTGTGTTATTAATCTCACCATTAACACTAGGTTTTCACCTTAGTCATACGTGGTGGAGTCTACCTGTTGCCCAACAGATACTTCCCCTCTGGTTTCACACCTCCTGGTTTTGGAGATGACTTTTTTTTTTTTTTTAATCTTTACAATTTCAGGTAGTGTTGTTTCTGTAGTGAGCGAAGGTGGACAGGAAAAAAAATAATCAGTGGTCCTTGGGGAAAAAAGGAACCCCAGAGGTGTCCCTATGAGGAGCTCTGCTGGCCCTCCCCGGTCCCGAGTGGCTAACGGCGAGCGTGGCCGCTCCCCCGCCATTAATTAAACTAACAGCCAAGTGTTTGCATCTTCCAGACACTCGGCCTTCCCTCTGAGGAACGCTCTTCCCCAGAGCTGAATCATCAGTGTCTCCCTTAGTCAAGTTAGGTCATGGTGTTGGCGCAATGTTTTCAGTGTTGGGAACAGGAATGAGGAGATTAACCCCTAATGACACTCCGCCGTTAATTAACGAGCCAGGGAGACCAACGTGGGGGAGTGGGGGAGATTAGTGCCATCGTCTCAGTCTCTGCTGAGTCAGCACAATGTTTTTGGTTGTTTGTTTTTTTTTTCCCCACCACCAGTTGGGTTTTGAGGGACCCATGGTAGCGGGGAGTGTGATTAATGAAGGTTGTGGGTGGGCACAACTTTCTCATGCCAGGAGGGACCTCCCATCTCCCACAGGGATACGGTCTGGGCACAGGCCCCCGGGGAAGAGGTGCTCATAGCCTAGACCTTATGGATGGGCTTATGGATGTCACTGGAGGAGAGGAGGGTCCCCCTGCCTTCGAGAAGGTGTCCAGTGCCCAGGCTTTGCTTTAGCTCCAAGTCCCACACTGTGCACATGAGATCACCCACCCAACCACAAGGGAAGCGTGAAGGTGTCACCCAGCCCGAGTCTCCCAAACGCTTTCACTTCTGGTTTTGCATCTATCCCAAGAATTAATATTTATTTATTTTTGAAGGTAGCGATAAGGCTTCCCCTCCTTACTCCGTTGGGTTTTCTGTTGGTCTTTGTCATCTCGACGCCTGCTCACCCTCCTCCTCTGCCATTCGTTCCGTAGTTCACCACGGGCACCTGTAACGAGGTGGCGGTGCATAGCTGCGAGCTCTGCGGCAAGGGCTTTCGCCTCCAGCGGATGCTCAACCGTCACATCAAGTGTCACAGCCAGGTGAAGAGACACTTGTGTACCTTCTGTGGAAAGGGCTTCAACGACACCTTCGATCTGAAGAGACACGTCCGGACCCATACCGGTAAGAAGGTGTTCCGGGGGGAGATGGGGAGCTCGTGGACGGCTCTTGGGAGTGGGAGGTGGGAGAAGGATGAGGAGATGGTCAGGGTAACCCTCAAGACAAGAGGGTAACCCTCAAGACAACCCACATGACAATCCTACAAACCCCGGGTAGACAACATTTGCAAAAGCCAGCAGGGATGCACTGGAGGAAAGGGAAAGACTGGGCAGATTAAAGTCCTGGGACTAGCAAAATTTGAGGAGAAGTAATGAAATCCATGTGAAACAGTCCGGGTGCGCGAACTGCCATCCAGATGCGGTGTAGACATGGCCAGGAGACCAGGATAACCCACCCGGGATGACCCACTGTGGGGTTCCTGGGAGTCCAGCGTGGAGGGGTGAGCGCAGGCGGGCGGTGGATGAAAGTGCTTTGCCCTCTAGAGGCAACGAGAAGCAGTTTTTTGGTTTGTTTTTTTTTTTTTTTGGTGAACCTTCCTCGCTGGCCGTCCTGCGGGATGGGGTTAGGGCTTGATTTTGGCACCACCTGGGAAAAAAAAAAAACAAACCAGAGCATGGTTCATGCTGTGCCTCCAGCTTTTTCTAGGGAATGTAGGCAACGCATCTGACTTCTGCTAACCCTGCTCGCTGCGTGCCTGCCCCTCTTGGAGGTGTTTCCCTCCACGCATCCAGCCATCCAGATGAGGTTGGACACTGGCCCAAAGCGTCTCTGTGCTCGCTTGTGGTGCGAGTCACAGCACGGGTTGAAAAGCAGGAGCAGTGGGTTGAAAATATCCCGGCAGCAGTTCCTGCCCTGGGTTGAGGGTGGGTAAAAAAAGTTGCCGTTAGCCTGGGCTTTGTTCCCTCCTCCCTTCTTGCACCTACACCAGGCGTACGGGTGGAACTGAGGATGCTGTGATTGGCCATGATGGCCCTAGAAGAAAGAAAAGCCATCCCTTTCCCTTCTCTGCTCATTCCTGCTCCCATATCACTCCCCCAGGAGCAATATGAAGGGATTCACTTTCCGTGGCCACTGTCTTTGTTGAAACCAGATCAGTTGACTCAAATCTCAGAATCATAGAGTGGTTTGGGTTGGAAGGGACCTTAAACATCATCGAGTTCCAAACTCTCTTGCCATGGGCAGGGACACCTCCCACCAGACCAGGTTGCTCCAAGCTCCATCCAGCCTGGTCTTGAACCCCTCCAGGGATGGGGCAGCCACAGCTTCTCTGGGCAACCTCTTCCAGTGTCTCACCACCCTCACAGCAAAGAATTTCTTCCTTATATCTAATCTAAATCTCCCCTCTTTCAGTTTAAAACTGTTCCTTCCGGGTCCTATCGCTCCACTTCCTGACAAAGAGTCCCTCCCCAGCTCTCCTGGAGCTCCCTTCAGATCTTGGAAGGCTGCTCTAAGGTCTCCCTGGAGCCTTCTCTTCTCCAGACTGAACAACCCCAGCTCTCTCAGCCTGTCCTCACAGCAGAGGTGCTCCATCCCTCTGATCATCTTCGTGGCCCTCCGCTGGACCCGTTCCAACAGGTCCATGTCCTTCCTGTGCTGAGGCCTCCAGAGCTGGACACAGAGCTCCAGGTGGGGTCTCAGGAGCGCAGAGCAGAGGGGTAGAATCCCGTCCCTGGCCCTGCTGGCCACACTTCTCTTGATGCAGCCCAGGATGGGGTTGGCTTTCTGGGCTGCCAGTGTGCACTGCCGGCTCATGTGGAGCTTCTCATCCACGAGCACCCCCAAGTCCTTCTCCTCAGGGTTGCTCTCAGTCCATTCTCTGCCCAATCTGTATTTGTGCCTGGGATTGCTGTGACCCAGGTGCAGGACCTTGCACTTGGCCTCATTGAACTCATGAGTTTCGCAAGGGCCCACCTCTCCAGCCTGTCCAGGTCCCTCTGGATGGCATAATCCAGCTCACCGGTCACAGAAGTGCTTATCCAAACCTGTAGCAAGGAGAAAGCAGCCTTTTTGTTTCTCTTTCTTTTTCTTAGTGGAAGTGATGGTTTAAATCACATATTGACCCCATCCTCAGCAAGCAAGATGCTTTCTGGCAGGCCAGGCTGGCTGTGCTCATGAGGCTCTGGCTTTGCATTGCGGGGCAGCCAGAAGATGCATCCACCCCATCTCCTGGCCACATTCCAACTTTCCACATCCTATGGGACCGGCCGACTATTTGGGCTCCCTCTGCAATGCCCCCTTTTTTTTTTGGCTGAGGCACCATTACCCAGGCAACCTGCTAGAGGTGACGTGAGTTTGTTGGTGGGCAGGTGAGCTGTTTCTTAGCAGTAGAGCTGAGGAAAACAATGTCGCCTGTTTCAGTTGGAAAGCATTGGCTGGCACCAGCATTTTGGGCCGGTTTGGTTTTGTTTGCAAAGCTCTCATGTGGAAAGGAAAGCTGCGGGCTGCGAGCAGGGAGCCACCGCGGGGGTACGGCTGAAGGATGGGGTTGACCTGTCCCCTCATCAAGCTGTCCCCTCATCCTTTGAGACTCGGAAACTAAATCCAAGAGGGTCTTGGAACAGAAGCTAAAAATATGTATATGCTGTGGCAGGTGGCATTGAACTTGCTATGCAGGAGTGGAGCCAGTTTTGTGAAGTTCTTTGTACCGGGCAGAAGTGAAAACCCACTGTCCTGGAAATGGGACTTTTAATGTCCCCAAATCTACTCGGGGAAATCCAGCATCACTATTTCTCCTCTCCGGAGTAAAGCCAGGATGAACATTCACATACATCGTATTTACCTGGTGCCTTGGGTTAGGAGGGCAATGAAGGCTGCCTGGCACAGTGGTTAATAAGGTCCTGTCATGTTTCCAGGCTGAAATGTGGCATCTCTGAAGGTGGTGGCCTTTTCTACGTCAAAGTTGATTGCGGTTCAAGAAAGCTAGGCTATATTTAAATGTTAAAAAGAAGATAAATAAGCCAGAAGTGGTCGTGTTGGCTTTATTCTGTAGCTATGGGTGCTCATCTATGTGTGCTTCACTGAATTTTGGTGTTCCAGTGGAAATTGCCATGCAGCATTTGTAACCAGCCTGTGCAACAGCAGGGTGGCCTCAGAGAGTGGGAAAGCCAAACGTCCCAGCCTAGCTTCATGGCCTAAGCAGACTTGAACATTAAAAAGTAACTAATATGCACGGTAAAATCAAATTTTAAAGTGGTTTCCTAAGTAAGGAAGAGGTTCCCATAGCCCTGATGGGCTCTGCCATCCTGGCATGACCCCTCTTGTGCTTGTGTTGATGCCTGTGGAGCGCTGTTGGCATCAGGAACCAAGGAAGGCGGCGGCTTAAATTGCCTCCCATGAGCATGGAAGGGCACCCAAAATACTGTTTGTAAAGGATACATTTTTGTGGGTGAATCATAATTCTCTCCAGCTGCAGTTTAATGAAACTGAAGCAGCAGTAGGTGTCATAGGTCTGATGTTCTACACGCTTGTGTCTCACCTTCCGCTGGGAAGAGAGAGGGGCTTAGGTAGCTCCTGGCATCAGTTTTAAGGCTGGTCTTTGCTTGAAAACTTACTGAGCCAGTCTAGTAAGCAAAATCACAGCTGCTTTAGGTTTTTCCAAGTGTCGATAAACCCTCAGCTATTTGTCATTCAAGGGCCGGGAGGTGGTTGTTGTTAAATTGGTGCTGGTTGGTGGTAAAATGGGTACTCTTTACGGCTCGGTATTTTTACAGTGTTGGCTGGTTGTACTGAGCAAAACTGCCCGGGCACTCAAATCCCAGGGCAGCCCCTTCTCCCTCCTCTGGAGACACAGGACCTTACACCTCTTTCATCTTCACACACTTCTAGAACTGGAGCTTGTCACCTCAGTCATCACATTTGTATTCTATGAGAAGGCTCTCCCTCCTTTGAAGCGCTGCGATCGCTCTATGTTCACGTTGGGCTGCCCTTCACCTGAGACTCATTAGGCTTTGCTCACTAAAAGAGAAAAATTAACTTCTTACTGAGACACAAGTTTTCATTAATTATAAAAGCCAAAATGAAAGATGAAAACCCGTAAGTTTTCACCTAATCACGGGACTTCAAAAAGTCAGGGCTCTGAAGGAGTAAGTTTTGCAAGAGTCGGTAACGGCTTCTTCATTAGGACCAAAGCGCTGACGGGCATGTGTTGTTCTCAGCATCTGCCTACGTCGTCTCAAAACACCTCTAGATTTTCTATTCCTAAATATATCAACCCATTCCTGAAGATCTTAGTCTGAAGGCAAGATCATAGAATCATAGAATGGTCAGAGTTGGAAGGGAACTTAAAGATCATCTAGTTCCAACCCCCTGCCCTGGGCAGGGACACCTCCCACCAGACCAGGTTGCTCCAAGCCCCATCCAGCCTGGCCTTGAACCCCTCCAGGGATGGGGCAGCCACAGCTTCTCTGGGCAACCTCTTCCAGTGTCTCACCACCCTCACAGCAAAGAATTTCTTCCTAATATCTAATCTAAATCTCCCCTTAAAACTGTTACTTCTCATCCTATCGCTCCACTCCCTGATCAAGAGTCCCTCCCCACCTCTCCTGTAGCCCCTTTAGGTACTGGAAGGCCATTATAAGATCTCCCTGGAGCCTTGTCTTCTCCAGGCTGAACAACCCCAGCTCTCTCAGCCTGTCCTCATAGCAAAGGTGCTTCAGTCCTCAGATCATCTTCATGGCTATTCCAACAGGTCCATGTCCTTCCTGTGCTGAGGACTCCAGAGCTGGACACAGAGCTCCAGGTGGGGTCTCACCAGAGCAGAGCAGAGGGGCAGAACCCCCTCCCTGGCCCTGCTGGCCACACTTCTCTTGATGCAGCCCAGGATGGGGTTGAGTTTCTGGGCTGCCAGTGCACTTTGCCAGCTCATGGTGAACTTGTCATCCACCAACACCCCCCAAGTCCTTCTCCCTGGTGAACTTGTCATCCACCAACACCCCCGAGTCTTTCTCCTCAGGGAGAAGTCCTTCTCCTCTCTCCGTAAATCAGAAGGGTAACCGCTGCCTTTGAACGTTGCAGGGATTCGGCCTTACAAATGCGAGGTTTGCAACAAAGCCTTCACCCAGCGCTGCTCCCTGGAGTCCCACCTCAAGAAGATCCACGGCGTGCAGCAGCAGTACGCCTACAAACAGAGGCGAGACAAACTGTACGTGTGCGAAGACTGCGGCTACACAGGCCCCACGCAGGAGGACCTGTACCTCCACGTCAGCGACGTGCACCCCGGAAGCGCTTTCCTGAAAAAGACCTCAAAAAAACTCGCAGCCGTTTTGCAAAACAAACTCAGCCCTGTCCTGCAGAGGAACTCCAAAGACGACGACAAGGATGAGTAACACGGTGGATTACAGTGGTCTAAGAGGAATGAAGTTTACATGTAGGACTACGTATATATTATTTTTTTTTTAAAAAAAAAAATAAAAAACCAAAACGATTTTGAAAGAAATCCCTGAAATGAAAGGGACCGTTAATGGGGACTCCCTTGATGTTGGTAGAACCTCAACTTGAAAGAAATATTCCCACACACAATGCAACCATTGGACTTTTTATCTGGTCGAGGCAAATGGAAAACTTGGAAGAGGCCGTCACGTCTTGGATGGAATATTGACCAAACTGACATTCAGGCACCCCATTTCAGCTCTACCACGCGTCCGAGCAGCCGTTGACAAACACGTTTGCCTTTTCCCCAGTGTAATTTTGCAAAGATAATAACCGTTACCTCCCGTACAAATTACTTTTGGGAGGTTTAGGTGAAAAGTGCCATGTTAAGAGCAGCTACTTAGTACGTTGTTCTATGCAAAATGGATTAAAATGGTCTTACAGGAATACACTGTATCGGTAGATAAGTTAAAATGTGCAAATAACCTTAATTCTGCCCTCCGTGCAGTAAACTAATGATTTATGGAAGCATGATCCAAGGTGAGCTGGAGCTTTTTTTTAAAGGACGCAATCCTTTTTCCTTCCAAATTTTCCAGGGCAGAGTTATGGTTACGTTTAAGGTCCTTTAAGCTGTGAACTTATTTTATCATGTTTAGATTTAAGTGTAACCTTAACTCTGATGTTCCTGGACTTGCCAGGCTCACTTTGGGGATTATTACCCCATCCTTTTAACGTACATGAATATCAGCCCAGAAACCCAAAGAAAACACTTTAATGACTTGAAGACATGTATTTTTCTGTCATGATGAAATGCAATTTTGTGTATATTTTACGGCGTGTGTGTTTGTGTGCGTGTGTTTGGGGATTATTATTTTTTTTTTTTTTAGTTTTTAATGATTAAGTGCCTGTTCATGAATAAAACAGAGCGGTGCGATGCAGGAGAGGGAGATTTAGCCAGTCCCTGCCCCACCAGACAGATCAGTGCGAAAACATAGGCACAAATCTGGCCTCTCATCTGCAACCACTGTCATCTGTTCAGAGGGCTCCTGGTGAGGCTAATGGCACAAGGGAAGGAGGTGGCGACGATGATGAGGGTGCTGGTACTACATCTCTGTGCTTTTGCACTTCCCCTAGAGTCCTGCTCCAGCTCCTGTTGACCCAGGACAACCAAGAAGGTAGACTCGGGACTGTGGTGTGTGAATTTAGGGATTTTTAGGAAGAAAAAGGGAGAAGGGTGCCCATAACTGGTGTTGCTGAAACCACCACCGCCTGACACTGAGACTCCAAAGAAGCTGCTGCAGCCTTTAAGGGGCACTTGGGGTGTCTGTATGAGAAAGCCAGGGTGGGGTGGTGACATCCTCAGCAGCCACAAGTTACTCCAGTCCATGTGTACGTTATTCAGCTGTCCCTTAACACTAAGCAGGTTTTACATCAATTTAAAATGCCTAACAATTAATGGCTTTCATTCGTAAATTCCAAAAAAATTCATTACCTGCTCAAAATAAAGCTGTACAGCCGGGGAGGATATGCTGTATTCTATACACATCGAAACGACAGCTGAAAAGCAGCCCACCTCAAATCCAGAGTCATAGCCAGGACCTTCATAATCATTACTACTAAAATGATAGATTCTAAAGTGTGTCTGCAAGAAGCACAAAAATCTTCTCACCTTGCCTCAGTTTTGTACAGGCATCCGCTTGGGGTTTTGTGGGGAGAAGCTTCTAGGGGTTTTAAAGCCTTTCCAATGATATTAATACTTTATTCAGCCCAACTGTCGGTGCTTGGGACCTTGAAAACGAGGGTAATAAAGCGATGCTACTGTGTAAAGACCAAACTTGTCATCCTATGTAACAGGAAAGTTGGCAGAACGCTTTAATGAAGTAGGAAGTCCACAGGAAGGAAAGAAAGACAGAAAATAAAATAAAAAGAAGCAGCATCTGAAGTAAATGAGAAGATCCCAACTTTGCAAATAGAGCTAACTGATCCCCAGCTCTTCCGAGACGATGCCGTTGTCACTGGCTCTGAGTGAAGCGTGCGTGCTTAAAAATGCAGGGACAAAATTGCCTGGCTAAGGAAAGAGTCAACAGCAGTTTGTGTTGGGAGGGACATCCCCTCCCACCAAAACCCACCCAGCAAAGTGGGACTGTTTGGTAGAGTCCACCTGAGCACAGTGACTCCCCTTGACCTCCCCTGCAAAGGGTCGGCGTGCTTAGCTCTGCTGACCCCTCAGCCCTTGCTGAGGGACACATTTCATGTGTGTGTGTGTGGATGGGGGGGGGTGTTCTCTCCTGTAGCACACACCGCTTCTGATTTCGATCCAAGACCACCGCTTTTCCTGCCCAAAGAGCCACAGACACATTAGGGTGGTCCCTCTGTGTGATCCCAGCCAAAGCAAGCACCCACAGCACCAGAGAAAAGGAGGAGGTAAACAGCACAGGGAAGAAAAGCCGCTCCGGAGGGAGAGAGCAAAGCCCTGCCGAGCTGGATGCTACAGCTGGAGTAACTGCTCTGACTGGCCGCCTGGTTTTTCTCCAGAGGACAGGTACACCCTGTAGCAGATGCCTTGGGCATGTCAATTTAACAGTCTGGCAAGTTAAACTGGTCACAAAGCGGGTTTGAGTTTGCATGACGCTGGCAAGAGCCATCGGCCATTCTGTTAACGGGAGAAAAGTGGCACTACAGGAACACCCCAGAGCTCGCACGGGGAGGGACAGACGCTGGTGGCAACCAGAGCCTCACAACTGCCAGACACCAGCATCTTCCACTGCTACCCCCTCTGAAGGCTGCCTGCCTTCTCCTGCCTCTCTGATGGCACAGACCCCTCCGAGACTTAAAGACAAATGAACAAGGGTGAAGGCTCCAGGCTTGTCCTTATTTCCTAGCTGGCAGGATGAGGCTGAAATCTTACACGCTTCAAGAGACATCTAACGGCTGGATGAGGCACTGATGAAGGTGGCAATCCCACCCAGACATTGCCCAACTCTTCCACGCTCTCTCAACGTATCCAATCCCAATGGACACAGGGAATTCAGCACGTTTTATCTTCTGCTTCTGCCCAAGGTGGGTCTCGCCTCCTTGCTTATGCCCACCACATACCCACGGAGAGATCTTTCACAGAAAATGGACCGTGTTGACGTTGAACCACCCACTTGCTGAAGTTCTGTGATGTGGGAAGATACTGGTAAAACAGGTAGAACTTCTGAGTGCTCGCGCAGCATCGCTGTGGTTAGTCATCTCCAAACCCAGTTTCTCAGTCGCCACAGTTTGTCTTTTTAGATAGAAATCTAATTAAACAGAGAGTAATCATGCCATCACCAGGCCAGGTTTGAATAAACAAGTACCACTATAACTAAGTTTCGTTGCACAGGTTTCCACAGCTCAGTGCTCTGGGAGAGCAGAGATGAAGCGCTACAGAGGTTTAAGTTTCTTCATCAGCGAGCCTGCCCAGTGGGGTTTTTTTGGGTATAGTTCTGGCCGATTTTCTTGAAGCTTATGGGTTGGTTGTATTTTTATTTGTAATCTGCAGCGTTATTACAAAAACTAGTACAAACAACTCAGAGTAAACAAAGAGAAGGAGGAAAAAAGCTGCCCAGGTCTAGGACACACAAAGCGATACCTCTTGACATCATCAAGGCTTATTCATAAAAGCCAAGTCTACAGGCAGAGAGACAAGCTTCAGAAATAACTCTTCTGTTTCAGAACATCTATTCACAAACTTATTTGAAAAAAAAACACGAAACAAACCCAACTGACAAAACCCAACCAGCAGCTCTTTGTTTCTCAGAAGGCCCAGCTTCAAAGTGACAAGCCTGCTTTGATAAAGAAGCTCCCTAGCATTGGCCAACGCTATAATCCGGCACCGGAGACAGTGATTGCTTTCCCTTAGTATTTTAAATAAGTGCTTATGAGAACTTTGGTTATAATTCTCAGCATTGTTGCCGTAAGTAAAACCACAAATAGTAACAAGCCTGTTAATAGATACCTTTCAGATGAGCAAGAACTAAGCTGACTGAAACTCAGCCCACTATATTAATTTGTTTATCGTTTGCATTTCTCTAAGCTCAGACTATGCAGACGCCTTTCTACTTCAGTTCACCAACTTCATTTTCAAAGTCTCAGTTCTGCAGCAGGTGCTGTTTTGTTTTGTTTTTTTTTTTTTTTTCAAAAATGACAAAAGAAGGATGACTCGATTGAAAAACTTTCCTGCCAACCACAGGTTGTATAAGATCTGTGAGGAAAACCAGAGATTAATTAAGTTGACTCTGTCCAGCCAGGTCCCCTTAAGTCACCTACAATGTAAGGAAATACATGTGCCCCGCTCCAATTTTCTTTCTTTTTTATTGAGGGAGGGGAAACCCCCGCTTATTAAGAAAACGACTATTTTACTGAAGTTACTAAAAAAAAAGAATATGTATTCAAATGGAAGATTTAAACAAAGGATTCTTGCTTTGGCTCTGTGCTCACGCCGCGTGCTTCGGGCGTAGCTTAGTTTGGGTCAGTTTTTGTCTGTGTACTCTTCAAGGCGCAAAAGCCACTTATTCCAGTACCGCGAGCACAGGTTGGGATCCATGAAATGGGGATGGGCAGGGGAGCCGTCCTTGTAGGCAACCACAATGAGTCCACAGCTCACCTGCAGGGAGAAACAGCAGGCTGTCAGAAATCCAGTGTTAACAGGCAACCTGAATCAGCAATTCTGAACACTAAACCTCACTGTTAAAACATCGTCTTTAACATCTAAGTGCCTGAAATAAGAGACGAGGAACAAAAAGAGCAGTGATTTACCATAAAATACTTGGAGACTAATATTCAAATGGCTGAGAGTTCAAAGCTCTGGCTGGCTTTGGTGAAAACTGGAGGACTCAAACTCTGAGTATCCCAGTGACAGGGTCTATTTAAACCTTGCAGATCCTGGTAAAATTCCCACTGACCGATGAGGTTTTTTCTGGGGTCATATAACCTCATTGATGCCATTTCCCAGCATTGGTCTGAATGGAAACGGTGACTTTGGTGGGTTCCAACATCTCTCATACTTGACAAACAACTCTAATCCAACCCCCCGCACAGAGAAAGCGGTAGGGGACAGAAGGCTAATAGCAGAATTCTAGAATTCTGCTGTATTCACTCTATAAGGACCATGTCTGTTTAGTGCATAGGGAAGAGTGTAGCCAGCAGGTCAAGGGAAGTCATTCTCCCCCTCTACTCTGCACTGGTGAGGCCACAACTGGAGTACTGTGTCCAGTTCTGGGCTCCCCAGTTCAAGAGGGACAGGGAACTACTAGAAAGAGTCCAGCGAAGGGCAACAAAGATGATTAAGGGGTTGGAGCATCTCCCTAATGAAGAAAGACTGAGAGAGCTGGGACTCTTTAGTCTGGAGAAGAGAAGGCTGAGGGGAGACCTTATCAACGCCTACAAGTATCTCAAGGGAGGGTTGAAGGAGGAGGGAGCCAGACTCTTTTCAGTGGTTCCCACTGAGAGGACGAGGGGCAACGGGCACAAGTTGGAACATAAGAGGTTCCACTCAAATATGAGGAGAAACTTCTTCACGGTGAGGGTGACAGAGCCCTGGCAGAGGCTGCCCAGGGAGGGTGTGGAGTCCCCTTCCTTGGAGATTTTCAAGACCCGCCTGGATGCCCTTCTGAGTAACATGCTCTAGCTCTAGGCAATCCTGCTTCAGCAGGGGAGTTGGACTAGATGATCTCTATGGTCCCTTCCAACTCTAGAAATTCAGTGAAATTCAGTGCTTGTGTTTACTGATCTCCAAAATATCCTAGAATATTATATATCCTCTGAAGAGCCCATGAATTACCCTGCCCTCTTCTGCTTTATATTTTCCCCCCTTCAACGCTTTGTATTGAAGTAACAATCCTTCAGGCCAAGCAGACCTGGCTGGAATTGCATTTGGAGTCTTTAAAAGCATTATTCCACTGTCTTCTGATGAAGTGATTGACAATGCACTGATTTCCTCTGAGAAAACGCTGCAGAGCTTCCAAGCACTCTAAGTAAATCACTTAGAGTGATTTAAGGTAGGGAGAAATGAAAATAACGTGGGCGCTGCTGCTTGCCTTGACAGGTAGCAGGCCTACTGACCTGGAAGTCATAATTGGCATCATGATTTATGGCTCCAATATATGCTGCAACCTGTAGTGGGTTGTCAAAAGTATTCTTCAGAAGTGGCTTTGGTTTCTCCGAAGTTTTCCAGTCAATCACACACAACTGGCCTCTGCGTAAGAGAACAATAGAGGACAATGTTTTAAACTTAAGTTTAGTCATAGTGAGGAACAAAGGATGGGACAGCAAAAAGTTGTATCACTCTTAGCCTGTTTCACCCTGATGCCATGTTGCTCATTATTATGGCTAAGTCTCTTCCACCCTGGCAGTTTAGAACTCAAAAATCAAGACTTAACTAATATCTGCTGCAGTTCCCGGCAACTGCTGAGGAGCACCTAACCCTGCCTTGCTCATACCCAGCTCCAGTAAGGAATTCTCCACGGGGAACAACAGCACTTCTGCCATCGGGTTCACCTCTGGATTCATCCATTTGGTCCCTCCTAGAGATCTGTCCGAGTTCCTCCCAACAGCTCACCAACACACCTAGAATCATAGAATCATAGAATTTCCCAGGCCGGAAGGGACCTCCAAGGGTCATCTAGTCCGACCCCCCCGCAGTCAGCAGGGACACCCCCAACTAGACCAGGTTGCCCAGGGCCTTGTCGAGCCTCTCCTTGAATATCTCCAGGGATGGGGCCTCAACCACCTCCCTGGGCAACCTGTTCCAGTGCTCCACCACCCTCACAGTAAAGAACCCCCTTCTAATCTCCAGTCTAAATCTGCTCCCCTCCAGCTTGAAGCCATTGCCCCTCGTCCTGTCACTACAGGCCTTTCTAAACAGGCTCTCCCCAGCCTTCCTGTAGGCTCCCTTCAGGTACTGGAAGGCTGCTATTAGGTCTCCCCGGAGCCTCCTCTTCTCCAGGCTGAACAACCCCAGCTCCTTCAGCCTGTCCTTGTAGCAGAGGTGCTCCATCCCCCTGATCATCCTTGTGGCCCCTCCTCTGGTCCAGCCTGAGACAGGGGCTGGAGCTGCTGCTGTGTTCAGGGTTCTTAGGGAACCAGTACCTCACCGATACTTAGCCACGCAGTCCACCAGGCCCAGATACTGAAGAGTCTCATGCTGAACGGCACTTTCCAGGGCTTTCACCTCGCTGACATCTTCTAAGACATGCTGCACGCTCGCTAAGAAGCCGGAAATATCAACGTCATCTCTCTGCTCCTCAGCTGCCGTCTCTTCAGACAGAAATATAGATTCCAAAGCTGCATGAAAGAGCTCTCCTTGGAGGAAAAGATCTAAGAGAAATGGAAAACCCCCACATATTAGACACTACTTATAACACCTGACGGACGTGCATTCTAGATATTACACAACGTGGCTCTTAAACCAGTCCCAGTTTTCGTACTGAAAGCTTGAGGATGGGGGGAAAATGGAATGAGACAGAAAAATAAATCAAGTGTCAACAGTGAAATCAGTATCTCTTACATCATTGCATACTTTACTTCTTTGCACTAATTACTAAGAAATGAAACATGATTTTTAATTTACTGTTTATTCAAAGGCATTTGTGAATTTCTATGAATAAAAAATATTATTTCAGGCTGCTTTTGCTGCACTTGCTTCTTCTGCTGCATTGGTTTATTTGAATGGAACTAACCTCCTCCTGAAAAGGGTGGTCATAGTTCTAGGAGGAAGGGCTTATCTCAGAAATGATTCCAAGAAAGATATATTTAAATAGTTACCTTAGGTTCATTATCTCACCTTATTCACTGAAGTGTTTATTAACTCAAAAAGCACAGGCGCAGGATATTCAGCTTTAAATAGCACAATAATTCCTTTAAGGAGCGCTTGGGTATTTATCAACCTGCTACAAGCAGCTATCTACTATCCCTGAGGTCCTCCCAAACCCCCTTCAGTCCTACAGCTTGAGGGAAGTCACCTTTGTAGGTCTTGCAAATGAAAACCTCTAAATGCATGGTGATTTCATAGAAGGGGCTGTGTGCACTGAATAGTTACCGAAGAACTTCAACATGAACAGCAAGATACTATTTTTTTTTAACCACCCAAGGGGATCCGATTTCAGAATGCTTATTTCTATCTCGTTACAAAGTAGCTTTGCATCTGCAAACGAGCTTAGATTAACTGAGGTGCACTCATTCAGTCTTGCCCCTTGAAATGGAAACAATGGCTTCCCAAAACAGTTGACTTTTAGGGCCAGATGCTGCAGCTGCGCTAGCACATCCCAGTCAGCTACCCAGGCTACTGCTTCGACTTTGTAAACGCGCCGGTGGTTAGACTTACTTTTAGTATACTCTGCAAAACCATCTTTTCCAAGTTCCTGTATCATTTTCTGCTTCCACCTTTCTAGATAAAAGGCTTGCTGCGGAGACATGGTCTGCTGAAGAATACGAGTAACGCTGGGCATTTTTGTTTTTTGTAAAGGGATTTTCACGGGGAGGTTTGACTCACTGCTGAGAAGGGGAATTCTCTTGTTGGGGTTTATTAAAGGGACGCAGTTCTTGGGAGTCTTTGTTTCAGCTTTAACTGGAGGTCTGTGTTTATCAGGTGGCCCATACAACAAATTGTCTTCTTCAAGTATTGTCTCTGGTGTTTGGGCACTGGTTTTGTAAGATGTAACAGAGTAGACCAAGTTCTTGTATTTTTCTTGGTCAACTTGCTCGTAACTGTTTGCTTTTTTCTTCTTACCATAAAGACAAGTGGAGGTGGCCAGACACAAATATGGGGATTGGTTTTGGCAAAAAGGTATTTGAAAAATCATTCCCAGTTTCCCAGGTTTCCTGGACAGCAGCTGTAGGAATTTCATTCTGACAAGAAGCATTTGTGAGTAGTTAGAATTTTCTTTCTTCTGTTAGGAACAGCCTGTCGGTTACCATATTTCCCTCCTGTGGAAAAAGAAATTTGTGATTTCCAGAGTCATAAAACTCCACCATCAACCTCTTTTTGCCCTTTGCCAAACAATGAACTGATGTGGTCATAAACTGCCTTGATACAACTTATGCCACCAAAATTCCCTTAGATAAATAATACAATAGGAGAAAGAACGCAGCAAATCCATTGTTGGGAGGTATTAAAACCAATTAAGTTTATAGTGGATGCCCAGCTTAAGAGGATTGTGGGGACAAAGTACCTTTTTGTAGAATAAAAACATGTTTTTCTTTTGTAGACCTATGAGAAAGCAGACAGTGGCAGTATACGCATGCTAAAATTGGGAGACCCAAGACTGGAAAGCCAAGGAGAAACCAGATTCAAATAATTTTTTTAAAGATCAGAGTAAAATATAGAAGTATTTTTCTAAACTGAGTTTCAAACATAGCTGTCTTCTAAGACACTTAAGCAGTTTAAAAGCAAAAGCAGGATACCAGAATTATTGTGCACAGCACAGCTTTCCAAACCGCATTGCAATAGCAGTGCCAAATCCTGGGAAAGTTTACACACGTGGATAAAATGTAAACACTTGAATAGTGGCATTTAGATCAACACTAAATACTTGCAGAATTGAGGCCCTCTTCTCCTACTGAAACTTATCTGCTTACCATTACAAAGTTCCCTTCCATCCACCTGCAAACAAAGAATACAGGCAGTGCCAGAAGTTGCCAACTAATATCAGCTTTTTGTTCCTGAAAACGCTTTAACATCACTCTTTTTTTTCCCCCCCACACTTCTTACACGGCACTTCATACACCGCCCGAACTGTAGGCATCACAGAAAACATAAAAGCAGCAGCAGGAGTTATTTTGTATGGCCAGACCCTGCTCTCAGGCAGATCTGCAGTGACACCAATGTGTGGGTGCAGGCATCTGTCACACAGAAGAGTTTGCAAAAACGGGGCTGTCTCGGCTGCAGCTGATGAAATCAAGGCATCTTAGAACAAAAGCCTGAGACCTTGGACTCTGGTTCCGATAAATATTGTTCTTCTGTGAAGGACAAACCCCTCCAGCTGTAGATGTTTAATCAGGAGTAGACGCACTCCTTCTTTTCTTCCCTGGCTTTGTATTTTCACGCTGACTTTGTATGGTTTGGACAAATAATAACGGTTCTGTAACCTGATGGCATGTAACCTGATACAAAATTAACCAGGAAATCTAAGAAGCAAATCTGAACCAGGAAAATACAATTAGGTGGGATCAGAACTTTGTGTCATATAGCAGAGGCATTTCTGACTCAGTACCAGCTGCCCTACAGCCAGATTTGCCATGCTGTTGTTAAGCTGGTCTCACACAATCTTTAGTGAGGGTTTCCTATAATTACAATGTGTATCAATCAAAATAGTTAATGATTTTAAAACTGCTTCATGCTCCGCAACAGAGTAATGGAAAAAAATAATGGAAGCACCAACTGGTTAATTCTGTTACTGACTTTTTACAGTCTGATTAAACATAAAGCAAGCTACCTCACCGTTTAAGATACTTTGAATGTGTCACTCCCCCTTTTTAATTACTTTCTACTTAATATAAAATCTAATCTAATCTAAACCTGCTTTCCTTATCCAGCAGAACTGGGCTAAGTGGAGCTGCATATGTTTTCTCATTTTCCAGCTTTCACCAGCAAGAATGGACATGACTCTTGCTCTGAGGATCCTCTGACCTTCAAATTCCTTTCAAAACAGCTCTCCTGACTGCACATGAGAAAAGCGCAGTCAGATGCATTACGAAAGGACAAACCAGACAATTTCAACCATTTTAGTGGCAAGTTCTACCAAAAAATAAAACAACCTACTTTACACAGGTTACACAGCAGCAAGAAATTGGACTGTGTTCTGTAACTTAAGTTCTGTCCCGTTTCATTTCTTGGGCATGTGAGGAAGTTTCACAAATTTCAGTGAAACATAATCCAAGTTTATGTTACCTCTCATTTCTTGTATGATGTCAAAAAGCTGTTTTGACAGCTTGCTAGAAATTTGTAACATCATAAAGAGGTACTTTTTATGAAGTACACACGTTTCAATTTTTCAGTTCTCCTTGGGTTTTCAGTTAGTGAATTTTTTGTCTTCACTCTTACTACCAATTGTTCTAATAAATTTATTTTTAAGAAGCTCTCCCTGTTTTGTCACTTGACTATAAGGCAGCTCACTTCTGCAAAGCTGCTATGTAGCATTTACAGCAACCCATTCTTCTCAGAAGATAATCCCATTTTTTAATAGATTTTTCAGTGTTGGAATGGGATAGGTTACCTGACAGAATCTGTCCCTTGCTGAGAAAGAAATAATGAGCGATGTTAGCACATTACAACAGGGGTTGGTTTGTTGCAGGAGTTAACAAAACCCAGTAAAAGCTGCGAAGGGATATGTAAAGGTCTGACTTTAATACCATAAGCAAATTGCTTCACTGTATTTTTTCATCATAAAATGCAGTGCAGAAAAATTAATCTCTCCGCTCTTGGGGTGTACCTCCTAATAGAGCTGCTGAAGCTGTGATTTAAGATAAAACAGGAAAAACCCCCTCTTATTCCAATGTAATAGTAACCAAGCTTGTAATTTCTCAGGCTATTCTTTGATGACCATTAATATGTTAACTCGAGTGTATTAATCGGAACAGAATAAACGCTGGGTCAATGACTGTGTATTTATTACATTAGCCAGAGGACAAAATCAAAAGTTTATTCTGGCTTTGTATCAGCTGCAGGAAGCAAGATGATACCCGATTCAGCATAAAATTCACTTGTTGTAAGCTGCCCCCTCAATATTTTTGAAAGAATAAATTTATATCAGACAAGTGTTTCAAATCATGTGGCTATTAAAATATTCAGTATTACGAGCCCTAGAGCCAATTTATAACGTCGATGCAGCGCTTCATGTAACATCTAGCATGAACTTTAAATGCTTGTATCTAGCAGATTAAAGAATCATGTGCTTTTCAATAAACCACAGTGGCATTTCTGTGTAAATAACTTACATTTACAGGAAAGAAATGGAGTTGGAGTGGTCTGGATCTAGTCTTGTACATAAAGAATAGAATTTAATAGATATTTCTCTCAGCGGAAGTGTCTCCTTTCTCTCTGTAACAGTTTGTGTTTGAAAACTGGTAGAACTGCGTCAAGCATTGCATGATGAGCCACACTGGAGAACTGAACACAAATAAAATAACCTAGGGAAAAAAGAAATCAAACGGGGGACTTCTCGTAAGTTTCCCAAGATAGTTGACTTTGCAGCTCCAACAACAACTGCATTAACACAACTGAAGAAGTTTTTCCAGGATAGGAATGAGCAGCCTAAGTGAGGGAAACAAAAAAGAGTTGCTTAAGAAAGTGCTGAGGTCCATAAAAGCCTTCCTCCAACTACAGTTTCAGACAATCAGTATGGCTTTTTCTCCACAGCCACCCACCAAACAAACAAAAGCACTACTTTACTTCAGAGATAATAAGAGCGAGCACTACTAAACATAGTTACACATCTGCTACCCTGTGTCCCCAATCTGAGAACAGCAAATCTCCTGTTAAGGTATACTTTTAAGTCAACATCAGAGGCTTTTATCTGGGAAGAAGTACTACTATTTGATGCAGAAAGACAACAGTAACCTATCTTCTTGGTCGGAATGACCACTTTGTTCTTTTTCTGGTTATAGATCAATAATGCAGGTCTTTCACAGCTATAGCAATTTTAGGACTTTACACGCTTGCCCATTCCCTGCCTCTCAACCTCTCTTCCTTGGTTCCTCGTAGTTTGTAAGCTAAATTACAGAATCATAGAATGATATGGAGTTGGAAGGGACACCTCTGGAGATCACCTAGTCCAACCCACCTGCCAAAGCAGGTCCACCCAGAGCAGGTTGCACAGGACAGGGTTTGAATGTCTCCAGAGAAGGAGACTCCACCACCTCCCTGGGCAGCCTCTGCCAGGGCTCTACCACCCTCAAAGGAAAAAAGTTCCTCCTCATGTTTAGGTGGAACTACTTCTATTCCAGTTTGTGCCCATTTCCTCTTGTCCTGTCCCTGGGCACCACTGAAAAAAGACCAGCCCCGTCCTCTTGACACCCACCTTTTAAGTATTTATAGGCATTGATCAGATCCCCCCTCAATCTTCTCTTCTTCAGACTAAAAAGACCCAAGTTTCTCAGCCTCTCCTCGTAAGGGAAATGCTCCAGGTCCCTCATCATCTTTGTAGCCTCTGCTGTCCCCTCTCCAGCAGTTCCCTGTCCTTCTTGAACTGGGGAGCCCAGAACTGGTCCCAGTGCTCCAGATGGGGCCTCCCCAGGGCAGAGTAGAGGGGGACGATAACCTCCTCTACTAAATTGAAACTATCTGGGTTAAAAATACATCTCCATCTTTTGGGAAGCTAAGAGCATGGGGAGAAAAAAAGGAGATTTAAAAGAAATAATAATAATAAAAAAATTTAGCAACCCAGTTTAAAGCACTAGCCCACAGAGCTACAACAGATCAAAGGGACAACAAGCTTCAGCACTGGGAAGTGAATTAGCGGGAAACAGGGCTGTAACACAAAGTCAGCGTTTTTTGGCAAAGCAATCTGTGAAAGAGCTGGCCTAACCTCGGTGAGCAGCAAGTGCCCGCCAGCAGCCAGCCAGCCAGCCAACCCTTCTCCATAGGCACCAGGGGCCTGAAAACCCCAGACATGGCTGGGCAGCCTACACTTGTGGCAGGGCTTCCCCCTCCTTCTCTCTGGGAGAAGCCGGCCTGGACAAGAAGCCCTGCTCGACGCCGGCCTCACTCACCGTCTCAGCGGGCAGGGAGGTTAGAGACCCGAGGGTTGGGGGGGGGGGAAACAAGATTAGACTTGAAGGAGGTTTGGAAGAGGGAGCTGGGGGCTCGGCTACCGGGGAAGGCTGCTGCTCTCCCTCAGCTAACCCAGGCCCGGCGCTGAGGGAACACCCTTGCAGCCCCAACCACCACAACTCTCCCCAAGCCGCAGGTGCCCACCGAAGCGGCCACAGCCGGCCCGACCCCATCCCCGTAACCCTCACCGCCCAGCAGCCCCAAAGAGGGAGACCCGCGGCCACCATTACCTCAGCGCCGCGCTTCCCGCCACCGCCGCCGCCATCTCTGCGCAGGCGCGGCCCGGCCCCGGCGCCTGACGGGATCTGTAGTTCTCCCCCTTCGCTTCCGGAGGGAGCTCGGCCCTGGGGAGGGGAGGAGAAGGGGGCGTGCCTTTTCCCTTTCGCTTTTTTTTTCTTTTTTCTTGGCTGTTATTTAAAAAAAACTCTAAAGAGAATAACCCCAAGACTTTTAAAGCAAGGGAAAAAAAAAGGCAACAAAAATAGCGTTGCGCCGCCATCTTGGGTGAGGGCGAGCGGCACCCCGCCCTCACCCAAGATGGCCGCCGCCCCAGGGCCCTGCGTCGCGCAGGGCGGGGGGGGTGTGTCGCTGGCGGCGGGAGGCGGCCGCGGCTCCGCCCCGGGCTTATATGAGGCATTGGCGGCGGAGAGGGCGGTGAGCGGCTGGCCGTGGCTGGGCGACATGGCTTTGCTCCGGGAGGACGCGCAGAGCAAGGTGAGGGTGGCGGCCCGGGCCCGGCTGAGGCGAGGGTGTGGGGGTGCGGCCGTGGCCGTGCCCCACCGGGCTGAGGGCCGGGCCGGCCCTGCCGGCTGTGAGGGACCTCCCCGCCCCCCCCC